GCAAAAAAATGTCTCTGTGACCTCAACAAACTCAACCACATTTTTGTATATTAATACTATGGTGCTGGAAGTGACATCTACACGCTTCTAGAAGGGTGGAAAGCGGATGTCACTTGTTACATATTCTGCTACTTATGTCCACTGTGAGTCCCGATAGACTACTAGGATAAGAGAAAACTTGCTTCTATATGTCATGTCAGAATGAGGTATAATGAGGGTACAAAGATAACAGCGGGGGATGCCGCTGGTGCAGAGTACTCATAGTGGGGGATGCAGGTGCTGCAGAGTGCTAGGGGTTATTTTACTCCCTTACTACATGTCCTCTTTATTTGGCACTTCTTCAGCTTCTGCGGGCAGCGAGCTATATGCATCACATTTTTCTTCTTGATACCATCAAGGCTCCCCTCTTAACTATGCATGCATATATTGGTGCCCCCCTATTAGAAACTTTTATACCTTAAGTGTCTGTCTCCTATGTCAAAACTCTGTGACCAGTTGTTTGAGGGAGTATTACAAATAGGGGCGTGATTTTGTGGCTGTGGTCAAAAATGGGCTTGGTCAACAGGGTGTCTCCAGATTTCATATTGAAAAATCTGGTAATCTTACCATACCCCCTTGTTAAATCCGAAGTCTACCTAAAACAAAAACAAAAAAGTAAGTACAAGGGAGATCACCTTCAGTGAGATGTGCCCCTTGTGCTGCTGTGTCTTCTTTTCGCCAAAATCTTTCTCCTCCAATGCCCCCCCCACCCCCATCGCTGTAATCTTCCAATGCAGTGGGGGTTAACAGAACTGTAAGGGAATTCCAGTACGGCAACTGGCGCATAGATATGCGCATAACATCACTCATAGGCATATTACAAATAGAAATGTGCACAAGATCGTGCATACACACAGGAATGCGTGCACACTTGTGCATGCATGTGTGTGGGAGCGTGCAGTTTCTGGCACCAGATGGGCTATTTAAGGGATGCTCTTGATCACTGTCAGCGCTGACTGGTCGTCAGCTTTCCCTGTGTCCTGAGTGTATCTGTATGTAATTTCTGTTGATGACCCAGTTTGTTACTGACCTGATCCTGGATTCCGCCTGTACCTCTGCCCACCTGTTTCTGACCCCCGCTTCTTTCCAGACCATGCTTCCACAAAAGATTCTGTAACTCGTTGCCCACCTGCTACTGACTCTGACTACCTCTGTGACCTCGCTCCTGCTTCTGACGTGGCTTCATACTACTTCTAAGTGTCTGCTTCAGCTGTCCTTCATAATAGCTCCAGTCTTCGCACTGTGTTCCTGCCTAAAGCTTCCTGAGAGCTTCAACAAGCCACTCTTCCAAAACATGTAGTACATACAGTGTGCCCCGTTAGCCTCGGCTGATCCAGCGTGCATCACATCTGCTCCTGCCCTGATGTCCTGCCTGACTTCTCAAGCCTGCATTTTCTGCTGCAAGTTCTGCTATCAACACCTGCTGGCACTCGTGTTCCTCTTGTCCCTCTGCACCACTTTCTGTGGGGCATGGGCTGGAGATACAAGAGAGGCCAACCAGTCAATTCAGTCTCCTACCAGGTACATGACAAGAACTGTGGGAGCAGTCACAGGCTATCATTAGGAGTGCCCATTTATGCTTGCCCCATTTATTCATTCATAGAAGCTGGGTAAGCGGAAAAGGCAGGAATAGTTGGGCACTCTTGATCATAACAAGCTAAAGAGAAAGATGGCAACCCCCCAATTTATAACTAGCTTTTGAAGTAAGGTGCACATGGAAAGGCAACGCACATCACAAACAAACATATTTCCCAGCACGCTTACCAGCTAGTCTGCAAACAAAACACACTGATCCTGTCTAACAATTCATGCTAAAACTGAGGGTTTCACTGCAAACATTTGCAAATATATGTGGAAGCCACTGTGCCCACATCAAGACTCCTATGTATACTGTGGTTCTAACTCTATAGTTTTGAGAGTCTCCAAGTTGGAGCATATATAGCAGTGGAAAAATTAAGGGCAGGTTTGCCTGGAGGGAGCCCAATCCTCCTTAAAGGCACAGGGACAGGGATGCCCAGCAACTGCACAATGGCAGCTGAAGGCATCAAATATGTTCCCACACCAAATTAATAAGCTATACAAACAGATTGCAACCGCCCCAATTTATAACTAGCCTTTGCTGTAAGGTGCACACAGAAGGTGCACTCTTGATAAGAGTCTGTGACAGCTCCTACAGTTCTATTAACGACTACTGCACCTGAAGATTATAGCAGCAGGGAGGGCATTCTGGAAAGGATATATTAGATAAATCATCCCCCACAGTTATAAACGTTTGTACCATTTGTCCCACCCTGTTAGATTGTAGGCTCTCATGAATAGGGCCCTCTTAATCCTCTTGTTTTGACTGTATTGTAGCTGTACTGTCTCCCTTTATATTGTAAACAAACTGTTGGTGCTATATAAGCCCTGTATTATAATAATAATATTAATAATTAAGGAGGACACAGCAGCACTTGGGGCACACCTCACTGAAGGTACGTAATGTTCCTTGTGCTGATTTTTTTTTGCTCTAGGGATCTGTTGTGGATCAACCCCCTTGTGAGAAAAGACAAGCTGGGCGGTTGATGCCAACAATTGTGTAAGTACACGCAATGGTGCAGGGCTGTCCACATAAAATTGTAGCGTCAAGAGCCTCTGTGTAAGAGAATGGGCATTCATCCGGCTAGTGCCTATATTATCGCCAAATGGGATTTTTAATTCTCAGCTTCTGCTAGCTTTTATTTGAATTACCCTTCTGCTGCTGATTCTGGCCCAATACCTCGAACTTGCTTCTGATTGCTGATTCCGTAATATCCCTGCTTACCGACTTTGCTTCCGTCTGACCTAGTGTTTGAATACTGCTTTGGTTCCTGCATTGTTAATCTGGTACTGACCCTCGCCTGCTTTCTTGACTATTCATCTAATCCCTGTAGTTACAGGTTCATCTGCAGCTACCAGCACTCATGCCCCTCTTATGCCCTTGAGCTAGCTATCACCACTACAAGACTCACTTGGGCTGGAGAAGACAGACAGGCTACCTTCGTTACCAGGGTCTCACAACCGGTACTTAATAACCCTGCTTACTGGACAATGTTGGTGCCAATGATAAGCTGTCCAATGAAGACTGAAAGTAAAGAGGTGATACAGGAAGTTGCACTACTGAAGCAGGGTATAAGAGTATCACCTGACAGTGTGCGGTGTGACAAATGGATGTTAAAAAACTACACTGTCTCTACAGAATAGCAAATCATTTGGCAGGTAACACATCAAACACATATGTATTTCAGCCATATATTTAGCTGTTTGCCAGCAATCTGTTAAATACAGAAATCCCAAAAATTTGGAGGACTCTGACCCTCAAAACTGGAGTTAGAAATATAATAGAGTACATAGAACTATTCTTGTAACTTGGATTATGTTTTTTTTTTTCCATCACACAGCACCAAGAATGAATGTAGAAATTATAATATGGTGAAGTTATTAATATGGGATACCATACAAACCAATTTACATTTACTACAGTTGTGATAAGCACAACAAAGCTTCAGTTCAGCTGTAACTCATGTACACCCCCTATGAAGCATTTCTTTTATGGGCCTGTTTATTTGGCAATAAGTTTGTCATTACTCAAGATAGCAAAATAATACATACAGTATATTGTTTGCTTTTTTGTCAGACATACAAGTTATTGTTTTGGCGATATACTCTCTTAACTTAACTCTCTTTTTCTTGCAATCCTTAGCCATAAAGTAACAAAAAAATATATTTGTTTCTGTTCTGATCAGTGTTAGATCAGCAGTAGGCACCCTTTGAGAGGTGGAGATCTACCTGAACAATGTGAAAGAGATCAAAGATCATCTGGGTTTAGCACCATTAAAAAAAAAAAGACATTATCTAGCAAGGCCTAACTAAATAGTAAGGAAAATGTAGAAAAATATAATAAAACAAATGTCAGTGTAAAAATACAAACTTAGCCTACCTTAAAAATGGACAGTGTCAGTCAGTAGAGCTGTGGATGGTGTCAGTAGAGCAGTGGATGGTGTCAGCCAGTAGGGCAGTGGACAGTGTTAGTAGGGCAGAGGTTGGTGTCAGTAGGGCAGTGGATGGTGTCAGTAGTTTTTATTATTATAATTTTATTTTTTTTATTATTTTTCACTTTTTTTTTTTTTAGAAGCCCGGTTGAAAGGGCAGCACTTGGGGGAGGGGCTGGGCAGCAGAAAAAAAGGAGAAACAAGGACAGGATAGGCAGCACGGTAGGTGTTTACTAGAACCAATCCTTCTTCAGCAGTTGTACGCTGGTGGGAGGGCGAGGAGATCCTAGCTTTCAGCTGCTCCAGAAGGAAATAAAGGGGATTGTTGGAAGGAAGGTATATTAAAAATTTGAATTCCCAGCCACTTGCTGGGAATGCAGATTTTTAAAATACCTGTCCATGTGAGGGAAGGGGGGGGAAATGATGGCGGGGGAAGGGGGGGCTATAGAGGTCACTATGTGGATGGAGGAATGCCCCTGCCGTGCCATGTCCCTTCCAAAGAAGTAGATCAAACCATTGATCAGTGTTTGGCCAGCTTAAGTTTAGAGGAAATCTTCATTTTGTTAATCCACAAAGATCTAAAGGAAAGTAAGCAGAATGACCTAATACTTAGACTTGGATGCTAACATACCTTGCATTAGATCTCCCTCTTCCTATTTTACATTTGTTTGATATGATTATGTAAAGTGCCATCACAGAATAGAACGTATTTACAGGGCTTAGCACCATACCAAATCATGTTTTTCAATGTGGAAATTAGGTAAAATGGGTAAAATACGTTAAAAAATGCAATGATATCTGTTAACTTCTCTTATGTTAAATACTGTAAGCAAATGTGCAAGAATACTGTATAATTTCTGTAAAACAATTTCTAAGCAAGGACTGCCCTATTTCAGCATTAGAGAGTGGCATGCATGTCAGGATTCTGGGCCAGAAACCATAAACCACTGACTGGCGGCACTGGTGGGTTGCACTGCTGGGCACTGGTGGGCACTGCTGGGTGGCACTGCTGGGCACAGGTGGGTGAAACTTCTGGGCACAGGTGGGTGGCACTGCTGGGCACTTGTGGGCGGAACTGGTGGGTGGCACTGCTAGGCACCAATCATCAGGGCAGTGATCATCAGTGCCCTGCTGATCGAAGTCGATCCCCGCTCTGACAACTGCTGGTTCTCGGCAGTACTTTCCTCAGGCTCTGACAGCGTGAGGAAAGTGCAGCTGAGAACCGGCAATTGCATTTCCAGGTGATCAGCGTGTCATTGGAGACGGCTGATCACATGGTAAAAGGCCGCTGTGATTGGCCTTTTACCACATCACGTGATCAGCTGTGTCTGTAGGACACAGCGATCATGGAGATCGCCGGGTGCACGCCCCCCCCCCGGGGGTGCTAAGGAGAGCGCATTCTGGGAGGACGTGATATGACTCCCTCCCAGAACTGGCCGGCCGCAGTGCAGATGTCATTCGGCTATCTGAGGTCAGCAACTAGTTAATTAATGCTAATAATTTCATAGATTCAGTTCTCCAGAGTCACTCTACTCTATTGAACTGAAAGGTTCTTGTCACCTGCTGGTCTCATTAAAGCATCCTGGTTTTGGTAGTGATACATTCTCCCTGTCTGTCTACCTGCAAGGTGATTGATGAGGCCAGTCTCTGGGTGGAGACCAAACTTGATTTAAGCCAGTCAAAGCATGTAGTCCCAGGCTTGTGATATTGTGCTTGTAACATATGCTCCAAGCTCCGTGTTTGTCTGCTCTGTTGTCTGGATTCCCTCGTTGACGACTCAGACTTCAACCACTCTCTGAACTCTGCCTGCCTTTTGACTATGGATTCGACCCCGACTGTTCTGAACCTTGCCTGCCTTGTACCTGGATTATCATTGAACCACTCAGCCTGTCTGCCAACGCAAGTACCTGTTAGCTGTGCACAGTTTGCACCTGCCCTGGCATGGTGGCCAGGCACTATAGCATTGTGGGCAATGAGGGCAACCAAGTACTGATAGGCCTGTGTGCCTTATGGGAAAGGGGGCTGCAATAGGTGAAGAACACAGAAGTCAGCTATATCTGATCATCTGCATTAGGGGTAAGCGTGACATTTGTACAGCTTAAGGATAAGTGTATATGGCTATTAATAAGCTATCTAAGCCCTGGTGGAATGCCTAATTCCCCACCCACTGCAAATATGGTGAAATGAACCCTACATGCAGTGGTCCTGCTGGACATGTGTTCACCGGGCTGTTTTGTCAGGCAAGGTGCAAACCATTTGATTGAAATATGTTCTTATTGACGTGTTTGCTTATCACAGCAGATGGAGATTAGCATACTGGCTGTACTAAGTACAACCTAATACTTGCAAAAGAGATCTCACAGGTAATCTAGGAAAGCTCCAGCAAATGGCTTTTCCCCAGCAGTTTTTTTTTTAATTTGCTGTAAACATACATGTATACATCCCTTTTACAAGGGGTCTTCAATCTGGTCATCATCATGGCTTTCTTCCTCATCTTCTTCCCATAGTGGTGTGTAGTCCTAAATGTTAAAGAGAATGTTGCTAATAAAATAATTGGGAGCTGTTCTTTTCTGTGATGCTAGGGTGGCTCGATGAAGTGCCCATAGAAAGTGTGTCCTTGGTGCTTAGGGCTGACAGCCAGGGAAGCTCTGGCTCTGGATTGCTGAGCAGTGAGTCTGCAGCAGAGCTGCTTTGTTTACAAATGGAAGTGGACCAGGGATCTGTCATTTTACATTGGGGTGACATTGTCAGGTAGTGAGGAAACATTATTGGATGGCAGGTGGTCGCGTACGATCTTCCTCAAGATTGCTGCCGAATCTACATTGCTGGATGACTTGACTGACACTGCATTTACATTGTAGGACATTTTTTACTTTGTTATTGTAATGTAATAAAGCACTTTCTCTAAGGTGTCGGTATGTTTATTTACATTTCTTTCTTTCTGGGAATGAGTAATATAGGGGTTCTAATGTACCATATACTCATTCCCCTGGGGTCCCTTATTTAAAGGTGACTTCCAGATTACAATGAGTGCCCCCCTCCCACACACACACAGATCCCCACATCCTCTTGGGCATGGGACAAGGCGCTTTGCAAGGGGAGATGCTTTGTGGCATCCCCTTGCAAGGTACCTTCTCAATGTTGAAAGGTATTAGCCTGGTATAGTTAAGGAACCCTCCCTTTCCTGGCCACCCAGGCTGCATTCCAGGGGAACCCCTTGACATTTTTTTCTACCACTCTTAAAGAGCGAACTATTACTGCTACTATAGTGTTCTGTCATTTCACACACAACTTTGAGGCATAACTCAAGCATGTTATTTAAAGTTTTTTTGTAATTTCATTGTCGCCCTTTAATCTGCATTACAAGTCCCTCTCCCTATTGAATGGTATTCTATGTTTAATTTGTTTTTCTGCATTGGTATATGTCTCCCAAGACAGTACCTAGCTACCCATGCTTTTTTTAACAGAAGCTTGCAAATTAGTCTGGAAAAGGCCAGAAAAAATACCAAGATGTCTCCTATAGACTTCAAAAGGGTTTGGAGCTAGGTTTGGGTTAAGGACTTCCCACTGGGTTCGCACAGTAGTATATATATATATATATATATATGTATATAGAAAGAGAGAAGCTTATGGAGCTGTGTGGATTCAGGCTCAGATTTTAAAACAAGTCACAGGATCCACGCCTAAAATGATAGGGCTGCAAGAATCAGTGCTCAAATGCTTGCTAAAAAAGATCAAGATCCCACTCATATATACTAAACTAATACTGCTGCACATTCACTGCGTGGTGTCAGAACTAGTATATTTAGAAAAGGTAAAACAGACATGCCAATAGATAGAGCAAGACTAATGGGTTTATTTATCAATGTTTTCCTCCACGATTTACACAACTTTCCCCAAAGATTCCCACATTTGTATAATTCAATCTTCCATGAAAAATGTGTGAATCTTGGGTGAACAGACCCCTAAGGTTATTCACCTATATTTAACATGTAAATCAGATCTATAACTCAATTGAAAATAAATTAACTGTAAGATATTTATATGGTGACAGTAGTAGTCTAATGTATTCTTAGTCTTTCTGCTAATCACCAGTGTGCAGTGGAGGCTGTTTTTTATGAAGCGAATATTGTCTGGACTGATGTCCTTTGCTGACACCTAGTGGTGGAATTGGAAATTGATCTTCATTAAAATCCTTTTTCCCCACATTTTCCTTGCTACTTGAATTGCAATATTTAACAGATGGATATCTGATGCCCATTATATTTTCCAACTTTATCCTGTTACGCTTAGATGGATATCTGATGCCCATTATATTCTTCAACCTTTTTGGACATTATAGGCCAATTAGACCTTTAGACAGAATATACTTTTATATTTCTCTGCAATTTTCAACAGATAGATGTTTGAAGTCCATTGTTTCCTCTCCTATGGTTGTGGCTGTATAGGTCAATTAGATCTTTGTTAGGTTATACCTATATATCCTTCTAAAGCATTTAACAGATGATATTTGATGCCCATTACATGCTCTACAACTGTTTTGGACGTGTAGGCCAATTAAGATCTTTTTTAGGTCATTTTCTCCTAGCTCCGTGAGCTTTCACATCCAGGACTGCCTTGGCAGTAGAAATTTCTTTAAAAAATCTCCCCTGAAGAAGCCCATGAGGGCGAAACATGTAGGGAGTAACTACAACTACATAACCAAGTTTGAATCTCAGTTTTATTCTTAGAACTGAAATTGTTTTTATGTTTCTGTATTTTTTTCTTTCTTGTGTTTTTTACAAAAATCCGAAATAAAAATGATATAACTTTTAATATGTTTGGTATTCTTGTTCATGCACCCTGAAAGTCCCATCTTCTCTATTGAATATTTGCAATTTTAAGGGATGTGGTGCAATAATCATATCTGGTTGCTTGCTCGTCACTTCACTGTTACTAATGTATTCTTAAGTTCACTTTTGAGAGGGCATCTTACTGGGCCTACTGGGCCTTGTACAGTAAAACGTCAGTTGGGGAGCATTTGTATTCTGTTCCTGTGCTTTAGGGGTCTTCAAATGACCAGTGAATGCCTCTTCAAGCCCACAAAGTGTGGAAGCCCCTATAATCGTAATTCCACTGTAGTTTTTCTATACAACCCTAAGGATAAAGAAGGCGTTCTATGCCTTATATACAGGTGCATCTCAATAACTTATAATATCATCAAAAACTTAATTTATTACAGTACTTCAATTCAAAAAGGTAAATTCATACATTATATAGCTCCATTACACACAGAGTTCTATATTTCAAGCATTTCTTTCTTTTATTTTGATGATTGTGGCTTACAGCTAGTGAAAACCCAAAATTCAGTATCTCAGAAAGTTAGAATATTGTGAAAAAGTTCAATATGGTAGGCTTATGGTGTCACATTCTAATCAGCTAATTAACTCAAAACACCAGTAAAGGTTTCCTGAGCCTTTAAATGGTCTCTCGATCTGGTTCAATAGGTTACACAATCATGGGGAATACTGCTGACTTGACAGTTGTTCAGAAGACAGTCATTGACACTCTCCACAAGGAGGGTAAATCACAAAAGGTCATTGCTTTAAGAAGCTGGCTGTTCACAGACTGCTGTATCGTATCCAAGCATATTAATGGAAACTTGAGTGGAAAGAAAAAGTGTGGTAGAAAAAAGGTGCACAAACAACAGGGATAACCGCAGCCTTGAGAGGATTGTGAAGTAAAGGCCATTCAAGAATTTGGGGGAGATACACAAGGAGTGGACTCTGGCTGGTGTCAATGCTTCAAGAGCCATCACATACAGACGTATCCAGGACATGGGCCATAACTGTTGCATTCTTTGTCTTACCTGGGCTAAGGAGAAAAAGGACTGGACTGTTGCTCAGTGGCCCAAAGTCCTCTTTTTGGATAAAAGTAAATTTTGCATTTCATTTGGAAATCAAGGTCCCAGTGTCTGGAGGAAGAGTGGAGAAGCACAGAATCCAAGTTGCATGAGGTCCAATGTGAAGTTTTCCCAGACAGTGATGATTTGAAGAGCCATGTCATCTGCTGGTGTTGGTCCACTGTGTTTTATCAAGTTCAAAGTCAGCGCAGCCCTCTGCCAGGAAATTCTAGAGCACTTCATGCTTCCCTCTGCTGACTAGCTTTATGAAGATGCTGATTTAATTTTCCAGCAGGACTTGGCACCTGCCCACACAGCCAAAAATACCTGGTTTATTAATCATGGTATCACTGT